CATGGAAATCCACCGTGGAATGTAACATAGAAGTTTGGGGAAATCCGTACAACGCTATCGTCGATTCAGCAGTCGCCGTCCTGGCCATTTCCTTGAGGGTTGTAGAACGAGCAGGAAGAAGAAATAATTTTATCCTGTTAGCGGAAGGAGACCACCTTGTCTCCGCCGACGAGGAAAAGATCAAGGTAGTAGGAAGGATGACGAAAGTTGCGTTTCGATTGGGAAAGTTCCTGCGTTGAGAGATGTCGTGGTATTAGACGTGAATACGTACGATGTTCTTCTGGGATTACCGGCCCTTGCTGCACTGAGAGTCAACCTCAACTTCGAAAGGCGAGCAATCATCCTCTGGAATATGGGCGGGAAACCGTATGTTATCCCGATGCATCTAACTCTCCAGATTGTACTCCTTATGACCCGGAAGACTCACCCCGGAAGTGGAGAACCACTCCATGTAATCACCTGGAGGGAACCCTCGAGGAAACGGACGAAAGGGAAACAGAACTGTAGCTGTCAAGTAACTCCTCCAAAGGCGAGAATGAAACGGACCCCGAGATTTGGGGCATGGTGCACCAGCGAGTTCATTACCCCGTGCGACAGAAAACATCGAAAACATTCGTCCTTATGGAATGGAACCTCCAGCGGACGAGAGTCTTAGTCCTAGGGAGGCTACGGGCGTCGCTCGTCCAAGTGTCCCGAATGGCTGATTCTTCGGAACCCCCTCGGACCCTATACGAGGCCACCACCCCACTTCTCTCGAGATACAGTGACAAGAAAGCATTCTGCAGTATTTCAGGACTACCCCGTCCTCTACTCTCTACAGGGAAAGAGGTCCGATTGCTGCGATGGTGTCGAGGATGGAACCTTAGAACCCCCTGGGCATGGCAACCCATACGAACTCGGGATCAGGATCGCGGAAAAACCAAATAGTTTGCAAGATATCGATGACGGGGTAACACCAGAAGAGCACGTGGCAATCCGGGAAACAGATGCCCATATTGTCACCACGATATTCTCCTGGCGATCGGACAATTCGTTCATCTTCGCTCCTCCGTCAGGGAACGGTAGTAAAATGGGTACGAAACAGATGACGGTTAACATACACAGACAACTCTATGAGTTACATGTGGCCCAGTACGTGCCCAGCGAAACCCATCGACTAATCGCAGATATCCTAACCGAATATCAAGGTCCTGAAGTGATTAGCGTCAAAGATACGGATATCGGGTTGTCGTTAGTTATTCAGCACGAAATGCAAACCGGAACGCACCCCCCAATCCACTGCAAGTCATACCGGTACTCCCTCGCCGAACGTAAGACAGCGTTGGAGCGAATCAGGGAATTTGAAGCTAACTGTTGGATTGAGCCCGCTAGTGGACCTTGGTCATTCCCCGTAGTTCTAGTCCCAAAGAAGAACGGGTCGATTCTCATATGCATCGATTATAGGAAGTTGAATGATATCACGATCAAGGATGTGTACCCCATCCCCAGGATCGATGATCTGTTGGATGCGATTGGGTGTGCTAGATATTTTAGTAAGTTTGATATCTGTCATGGGTTTCATCATATCCCGGTTAAGGAGGAGGATCAGTCGAAAACGGCGTTCGTAAACTTCGTATTGTTCGAAGGCACTTGGCAGTGGGTTCATTGCCCTATGGGAATATGCAATGCGCCAGCTACCTTTCAGAGAGCGATGAACATCACCTTTCAACTTCGTCAACAAGACCCGACTGACCCAGGGAATGATCAACTTCTGCGTCATTGCGTATATGGACGATATTTTGGTGTATTCTGAATCGTTTCACGGACATGCTTAGCACATTGAGTGGACGCTCGGGACATTGCGGGATGCTGGATTCAAGATTGCACTGGAGAAAAGTGAGTTTTTCCTCTCGAAAATCTCGTTTTTAGGGTACGTGGTGACACGAGGAGGTTTGAGGCCAGATTCGAGAAAAGTTGAGGCGGTTCGAGAAGCCCCTACGCGGCTACGCCCACGTCACTGATGCAGGTTCGAGCCTGCGTGGGGCTGGCCTCGTACTACCGCAGGTTTATCAAAGGGTCACGGCGATCGCTCGGCCCCTGACAAACCTCCTACGGAAAGATCAACTACTCAAGTGGGACGAGGAGTGCGAGCAGGCCTTTGTCACTTTGAAGGAGGTCCTCGCCTCCGCACCTATTTTGATTCAGCCCAATCCTGGGAAACAGTTCATTCTCATTACGGACTGGCAACCGAGGCAATATCCACTATTTTGGCCCAAAAGGGGAAGGACGGCCGTGAACACGTGATCGAGTACGCTTCGCGAACTGTACTTCACGAAAGAAGGAACGATTCGGCCCCACAAGGCAAATGCTACACGACCGTCTGGGGAATTCAACACTTTCATCTGTATCTGTACGGACATAAGTTCCTCCTCGTCACGGATCATGAGCCCCTGATAGTTGTCAAAAAGCTCACCAACTATACGGGCATGATTGGTCGATGGGCTGTCCGGCTACAGAAGTACGACTTCGACATCATTCATCGAAAGACGGAAAAGCACGGGAACGCGGACGGGTTGACACGACTCCGTTGGCCAAGCAAGGTGGCAAAAGGTGAGGAGATTACCCCGTGGCCGGAGTCGGAGCCAGCCAAGGGACCCCCGTACGGAGAAGTGGCCATTCTCCCCTGACCTTCCAAGAAGTGACATGTAAACACAATGGCGATGGGTGGAGAAGGTAACTCTAGAGGTCCTCTTTCTCCCCTCTCATCCTCTTCTCTCCTTTCCTCGCCCGACAAATTTTGTTATTTTTGCGAAGCAATATCGCGGGTCTATTCGGTTTCCATGCATCCTAGTGGGGAGGGCTATGTCGAGTGGGTAGACAGTGAACAGTGTGTCCCCAAGGCCCACGGTTTTTGTATCCAATACAAAAACACGAATAAAGCCTGGTTATGTCCTTTGTGTCGAACCGATAAAATCCCAACGTAGGCTCGATTCCTCGAAGGGAGTCGAAGCCACGTCCGAAGGGCTGGAAAAGACACGTAAGTTTCGATGGGCGGAAGTACGGACGGATGCCGTTTTGATAGCCACGGTGGTCGGGAACTCCATATGAGAAGTCACCAAGGAAGATCGCAGGTGAGCTAACGAAAGGGCACGGGATTACTGATTGAACGACGGACGATTAGAAAAACGAAAGACTGATGGCAGTGGGATTTGGATGTTGGTGCCTCATCCGTTCATGAGGTACGACTGGGTTAAGGCGGCCCACGAGGAAACCGCCGCTCACTTCACTGTCAGAATCACGGAAGCTGCAATTGACAAAAACGAGTGGTATTGGTCCAATATCCGGGACGATGCTAAATTCATTGTCAAAAATTGTCCGGTTTGCGCGGCAGATAAGGCGCCGATTCAGCCGCCTAGGTCGATAATACCTACTGTAGTCGAGCGACCGTTCCAAAGGCTTAGCATGGACACAACAGATATTATCGTGCCCCCTGGACCGAATAGCTGTGAATATTCAATTCTTTTGGTGTTCGTAGATCATTTCTCGAAATTGATCGAGGCCTACCGTGTAAGACGTGACAGACGACGGAGATCGTGCAGTATGTCAACCGTTTGCTCGGAATGCATCAGGATACCGAGGAAATTTTAACGGACAACGAGGCGGAATTCGGAGGAGAAGTCTTGAGGAGCCTAGTCACACATGGTGTCTCCATCCGTAATACGGTTTCGGGTTCCCCATATGTCGCAATCGAACGGACTAGTAAGAAATGCGAACCGGCTTATTAAGACCACCTTGCGGCAAAATATCACGGCACGCGACACCCGATATCGTGGACCATATCCTAGCTATCCACCGGGGGACCCCTCATCAGTCCGTTGGCCTGACCCGTTTTCAGTTACAGACCAATAGTATGTCTTGTGTAGCCCTACCAAACCTGAACGACGAAACAGCCCTTGCGCGACGGACCACGAGAGCGACGGTCCAACGCCACCTAGAATTGATGGAAAAAGCCCTCCCCCGGTTAGCCCGAAAAAGACAGCGGATGACCGAAACTATGAGGCCCGAAATAGCCCGGGAACGTTGGACCCCGGCCCCAGTATAAATTAGGGGACATAGTGCAGGTGAGGAAATGTGCTCTACAAGGCAAAGTTAGCGCCACGATTCTTCGGGCGATTTCGAGTAGTCGAGATCAGTCCTTGCGGAGTGAACATGGTGCGGCTTGCGCCAGAGGTCTAGGGAAGTCGATCAGCTCGACCGATCATCCGACACGTGTCCTATCTTTGTCCCTTACCTCCTTCTCCTTCTTCGCCATCATCCACGCCATCCTTCTTGCGGGGGAAGACGACGATATCGAGCTCGAATACTCTGACTCCCCTTCCTCTCAACCTCCATCTCCGATTCTTCCCCCATCGCCATGAGCTTTTCGACCGAGCAGGTCATCAGTGAACGTCAAATGAGACCCGGGGGGCATATTTCATCGATCCGACAGGTGCAGCAGCCACGATTGAGTCCGGATCTCCTTCGTTTTGCGGCTTTCTTCAGCACAACGGCCATCCACGCGGCGGGGAAATTTTGGTTCGCATGCACCAGCGAGCACACAAGAGTGTTGGCCGAGGCGTCAACTTTTCTGCGGCTGTCCCCGCCTCGCAACAGCCACGTGTCAATGATTGTCGCCTTCACCGGCGATCTTACGACGCTGCATCCGACAAGTCATATGGGCGACAAACGCGACTCTGGGCCCAGGACCTCACGGAGGCGTGGATCCAGCAGTTACCCCGACCAGGCGATCGGGTCGACTCCACCAACGACATCGACCTCAACCAGCTCAGACTCTCTCTCTCTACACCGGAGGTTATCATCCCGGAGCTTCTTCCTTTTGCGCCGCCTCAATGAACCGGCACCACCTCTCGACCTTCGGGCTTCCCTCCGATCTCCCTACCTTCTGGCAGTCCACTACGGACGCCCCTCTCTCTTTTCGGATCCGGCAGCTGAGCGTGCCGATCTTCGACGCGGGTAAGTGG